CCCAGCTATCACCACTGAATGCTCTGACCAGGATCACAACAGAGGGTTCTGGACAGAGCTGGAGAAGAATGTAGAACAAAATTCTAACTCACAAGAAAAGACCAGACTTACTGGTCTGACAGAGAGTGGAGAAACCCCAAGAGTATGACCCTTGAGTCAGTCTTACTGCAGAGAGTGAAGTGTGGAGACTTCTGGAATATGTGCAGAGAGTGAAGTGTGGAGACTTCTGGAATATGTGCAATCCTATTGTTTTCTGTTTAACAAAGTAGTCTTTTAAGATTATTGTTACTTACTTCAGAAATTATTGTTAAGAGCTGTAAAATATAACCTATAACTAGGATGGCCACATAATTTATTATACCAAACCAAACCCCTTGCTGTGGAGTCAGTTTCGACTCACAGCAACCCTATAGGACAGAGCAGAACTGCCCTGTAGGGCATCCAAGGCTGTACTCTTACTGATTACAGTAACTGAAAGGTCAGCAGTTCGGATCCATCAGCTGCTCCTTGGAAACCCTGTGGGGCATTTATATTCTGTCCTATAGGGTCACTATGAGTCGGAGTCAATTCAATGGCAACTGGTTTTTGGTTCTTTTAATCTTACGGCAGCAGACTGCCACGTCTTTCTCCTGCAGGGTGGCTGGTGGTTTCAAACCACCGAGTACTTAATCAGTTAGCAGCTGAGCACTTAATTGCTGCACTCCCAGGGCAGTGATTTATTTATTATGCATCGAGACATTTTTGAAAGTGAAAAGGGCCCTATTAATAATTATAGGAGGCCAACAGGCATAAACAAGATATCTTTGGCCACACCAGAAAAACTAGTCACTTTACCTATAACCCCAAAATTCCATAATTCTGATTAGTTGTTTTACTTCATAATCGTTTGCGCTGATAATATTTCTATTGACACCTCTATTTCCAGAAAGGTATAAACACTTAAAAGGTTTTATAATGAAATGTGCAAAAGACGTGGAGTTAGAAAACCAAAAGGAAAGAACATGCTCAACATTTCTCAATGAACTGAAGGAAAAATTCAAGCCTCAAGTTGCAATATTAAAGGATTCTATGGGTAAAATATTGAACAATGCAGGAAGAATCAAAAGAAGATTGAAGGAATACACCGAGTCACTGTACCAAAAAGAACTGGTCAATGTTCGACCATTTCAGGAGGGAGAATATTGGTTCCTGGAACCAATGATACTGAAAGAAGAAATCCAAGCTGCACTGAAGGCATTGGTGAAAAGCAAGTTTCCAGGAATTGACAGAATACCAACTGAGGTGTTTCAACAAAAGGACGCAGCACTGGAGGTGCTCACTTGTCTATGCTAAGAAATTTGGAAGACAGCTACCTGGCCAACTGACTGAAAGAGATTCATATTTGTACCCATTCCAAAGACAGGTGATACAACAGAATGTGGAAATTATCAAACAATATCATTCGTATCACACATAAGTAAAATTTTGTTGAAGATGATTCAAAATAGTTGCAGCAGTAGGTCAACAGGGAACCGCCAAAAATTCAAGCCGGATTCAGAAGACAACGTGGGACGAGGGATATCATTGCTGATGTCAGATGGATCTTGGCTGAAAGCAGAAAATACCAGAAAGATGTTTACCTGTGTTTTATTGACTATGCAAAGGCATTTGATTGTGTGGATCATAACAAATTACGGATGACATTGGGAAGAACGGGAATTCCAGAACACTTAATTGTGCTTATGCAGAGCCTGTACATAGATCAAGAGTCAGTTGTTCGAACAGAACAAGGGGATACCGTGTGGTTTAAAGTCAGCAAAGGTGTGTGTCAGGACTGCATCCTTTCTTCATACTTAGTCAATCTGTATGCTGAGTAAATAACCTGAGAAGCTGGACTATATGAAGAAGAACATGGCATCAGGATTGGAGGAAGACTCATTAACAACCTGTGATGTGCAGATGACACAACCTTGCCTGCTGAAGGTGAAGAAGAATTAAAGCGCTTACTGATGAAGACCAAAGACCACAGCCTTCAGTATGGATTACATATCAATATAAAGAAGACAAAAATCCTCACAACTGACCAATAAGAAGCATCATGATAAACAGAGAAAAGATGGAAGGATTTCATTTTACTTGGATCCGCAATCAATGCCCACGGAAACAGCAGTCAAGAAATCAAACAAAGTATTGCACTGGGCAAATCTGCTGCAAAAGACCCCTTTAAAGTGCCACCAGGGCTCCATTAGCGTACTAGACATTACCAATTAAAGTGGTCGACTCAGTTTTGAACTCAATCATGTGGCTATTTAAGTTATAATTTCAAAGGAGTTATTAAGAAAATGGAAATATTGTACTTAAATTTTAATTTGTAAGTGTGATATTTTGAATAAAATGGCAGCTAAAAAAGTTTTCAAAAGATCAAACAGTCTATATTTAAGATACATTATTGAAATCTTTCATTTTAGAGATTAATGAAATCTCTGTAGAATTAACTACGTGACAACACTGAGTAAGGAATACAATTCACCCCAGATTTTATGTTTATTTAAATTGCAAATCTTGTTCTAATAAATTAAAACTTTTTTAAAAATCCTGCATTTTGCTAATTAGCATTTCTGTATACTCACTGAATGTTTGCAATTGATCTTCACAAGGATATTAAAAATTCTAAAAAGTACACATTAAAAAAATCGCTAAAATGGCAAATGTTTTGTTATACATATTTTTCCACAACAACAAAAATTTGTTTTAATTCTAAACAAGTCTTCTAAAATATGTAAGATAATATTCAGTACAGTTCTAGTGTTAAGTGTATTTTAATTTCAAAATTAATAAGCAAAGCATCATCTATATAGCAACACACTTACTAGCCATTAGAGACCATAGGAGTTATCTACTTTTATTTAAAACATCACTAATTTCTCTTTCAATATATCCCATTGTTGTCAAGACGATTTTGACTCATAGTGACCCTACAGGACAGAGTAGAACTGCCCCATAGGGTTTCCAAGGCTGTAATCTTTATGGAAGCAGACTGTCATATCTTTCTCCTGCAGTAGGTCTGATGGGTTCAAACCGCCAACCTTTCAGTTAGCAGACAAGCACATAACCACTGTGCCACCAGGGTTCCTCATCTTTCAATATACAGGAGGGTCAAAAATATTGAATAATATTTATTTTTAAACACAATTACTAATTTGGTACTCTTAAAAAAGAAAAACAAAAAACCAAACTCGTTGCTGTCGAGTCAATTCCGACTCATAGAGACCCTATAGGACAGAGTAGAAGTGCCCCATAGAATTTCCAAGGCTGTAATCTTTACAGAAGTGCACTGCCACATCGTCTTCCCAAGGAGCAGTTGGTGGGTTCAAACCAATAACCTTTTGGTTAGCAGCCAAGCACTTATAGAAGTGACTATAGAATCTTAACAAATTATAACAGGAAGAAACAATATAGGTGAGAAACCCAAATACCAAACATGTATGAAAAAAGTAGAGATCTTTCAAAGGAAGCTTTAAAGAAGTATGAAAGTAGAGAAAAATGAAGCCCATCTCCAAGAGTCTAAAGAAAGAGTAATGCACATAATGGCCTTACTTATTTAAAATAACCAAGAAGATATGAGAGTGGTTAGTAGAGTAAATACAGGTGGGCCAAAAATTAATGATTATTTTTAAGCTCATTAGTTTCAAGCAAAGAAAATATTGCAACCTTTTCCTGGAACAAATAGCCCAGTAGCTCTCGCTCTTTTACATCATAATTTATCTAAAACAAACAAAATAAAAGACAAAGAGAAAAAAAAAAAGACCCAAATCACTCTATTGTTAAACTAACTGAATCACTAAATAGTTACACGGGTTTTAAAAAATTAACATGTTATAATACATTTATGCATTTACAATAATGGAAATTTCAAGTACAGTCTGCTTTTGTCAGTCAACTAAAAGAAAAACGTTTCATAGAATTTTAAAGTTAGATTGTCTTCCTCTAATCTAATATTCTATACTGGGAAAACAAGACTCCAGAAAAATGAAGTGACTTTGCTCAAGGGCAAAGAGTAATAGGGTAAAAACTAGAAATCAAGCCTCCTAATTTCTTTACTTCTCTGCCCCTACATTCTGACAACAGAAATCTCTTATGATGTTTTAAAATATTATACAGCAGAGGCCAACCCAACAGAATAAAGTTTGCCTCTAGTTCTGTCACTCCTTAAAATGGTCTTGTTAACTATTTAAAAGTTTAGTTACATCATATTATGGTGAAAAAGCTCTTAGCAGTGATATATCACAGATCTGAATGTTAAAGCTTTTAATTCGGAGGGAGGAGTACGGGGAAGGAATTCCCTTCAATTCATGCTTACTCTTCTAAAAGATTAAGCTAGTTCTCCTTATTTTATCAAAACTAATTCCATAAAATATTGCTCATTTTACAATATCAATTCAAATGGGCAAGACATTATGTTTTAAAACTGTGAACTTAACATCTAAATCTAAGAAGTGATACTTCTTTAGTCGGAAGTAATTAGAAAGTAAGCCAGCATCCACTACCTTCAAAATTTAATTATTAAGATACAAAGGAGAAACATTTTTGACATCATGCCTAGTTAAAATGTACAATTCAAAGAATATACATTTGCAATCAAAGATTCAAATACTTGAAAGCACTGTGGCATTCCCATTGGTTTAATTTTTCTAAAACTAAAAAAAAGTAGTACTATACCCTTATAAATAAAGTTGGATTACCTTGTCCAGAGCAAACTTAGTGTTTCCTAATGAAGATAATGACAGTGTGTGAGACCCAACAAGGACAAAATTACTGGTGCGCACAGCATTGAGACCACCTGGACTAGCCATGACTGTAAAGAAAAAAATGAAATCTAGTTCAGAGCGACTTTCATAAATGTAAATAACAATTCCCCTCCTCCCCCCAATAGAAACAAATTAAATTGCCATACAGAAAATTGCCTCATTTTCCTGTCTTTAAATACGGGGCAGAAGTCAAAGAAAACATCAACATATTTTTAATGAAAGAAAACTGTTAAATATTTAACTTAAGTGAGGTACAGGCACTCCTAACTTGTGATGGAGGTGTTTTTTAAAGAACAGAGAACCTAAAAATGCGGACATAAAAAGTAATTTTCTCATAAGAGATTTGGAGAAGATTTCATTGCTAGTAGAGGATGACCTAATTAGTAGCAGAGACTATACGGTTCGGTTGATTTACTCTCTTGTGCTATGGAGAAGAGGCCAAAAGCCATTGTCTCTTTCCACAGATACAGTCAACTGGATTCTTTTGTATCCCATCCGGCAAGGACCAAGTGCATAGTCGCCGTTTATGTTGGCGAAAAAAGTATTTGCAATGAAGTCGTTGGTCTTGCAAAATTCTATCGTGATCTCCAGCATCGTTTCTATCATAAAGGCCATATTTTCCAACTACCGATCCTTCTTCTGTTTCCAACTTTTGCATTCCAATCACCAGTAATCATCAATGCATTTTGATTGCATATTTGATCAACTTCAGACTGCAGAAGTTGGTAAAAATCTTTAATTTCTTCATCTTTGGCATTAGTGATTTGTGTGTAAATATGAATAATAGTCATATTAATTGGTCTTCCTTGTAGGCATATGGACATTATCCTATCACTGACAGCACTGTAATTCAGAAGAGATCTTGAAATGTTCTTTTTGACAAAGAATGTGATGCTATTGATCTTCAATTTGTCATTCTTGGAATAGCAGACTATATGACTGTCCAATTCAGAATAGCCAATACCAGTCCATTTCAGCTCACTAATGCCTAGGATATCTATCTTCAAGCGTTCCATTTCGTATTTTGACAGCTTCCAATTCTCCTAGATTCATACTTTGTACATTCTAAGTCCTAAATATTAATGGATGTTTGCAGCTGTTTCTCCTCATTTTGAGTAGTGCCACATCAGCAAATGAAGGTCTTGAAAGCTTGACTCCATCCACGTCATTAAGGTTGACTGTACTTGGAGGAGGCAGCTCTTCCCCAATCATATTTTGAGCACCTTCAAGTCTGAGGGGCTCACCTTCCAGCACTATATCAATGTTCTGCTGGTATTCATATGGTTTTCACTAGCCAGTTTTTAAAGAAGTAGATCGCCAAGTCCTTCTTCCTAGTTTGTCTTAGTCTGGAAGCTCTGCTGAAACCTGTCCACCATGGATGACCCTGCTGCTGTTTGAAATACTGGTGGCATAGCTTCCAGCATCACAGCAACACACAAGCCACCCCAGTATGACAAAGTGACAGACAAGTAGTGGGGAACTAAGGCAAAGGCAAACATTCATAAATTAAGATGGTCTAGCTATGTAAGTATATCATTGGTTAGTTATTTTCCTTATTCTAGAGTTTCAAACAGTCCAAAATAAACTCACCTGAAGAATGAAGGCTGCTTTTCTAAAAAACAGATGTGAAAAAGAAACATAAGTTATATTAGATATAAAACTCTTTTTAACACCACAAAGACCACATTTTAGAAAACATTTTTTCCTACATAAATATCAGGAACTCTCCCCATCCCAACCCCATTACTATATTTTAAAGATTTCCACAGTGCTAAGGGTTTAGAAATGGTTAACCAATTTATGGTTGCTATGTGCAAGACGAAGACTTCTCAAGGAAGCTCAACTTCTTTTTTTTTTATTTTTTAAAAAGCTCTACTTACCGTGGTTATAGATGTGAGGAGCCGCTTTGGAGTAACAGCCTAGAAGAAAACATAGCTTAGCATGTTTCCTATAAAACATTATGATTTCAGAGCTCAAAGTCAACCTTGAGATACTCCTGCATATAAAATAATTCTTAAAAATGAATATAATATACTCAAGTCCTTTATTAAGGCTTAGCCATATTGCTCATTCCTTTTTTTGCTAAAGCTAAGAAAAAAATTTTAATAAATGAATACTGAGAGTAAGGACAAAAGAACAAAGACTGGGAAGGTTCCAAATCAAGCTAGAGACTCTATTCCTTACGCCTGCACACTGACTACCTCATCACTCTTAAGTACTCCAGAGGACATAAGGAGGGCTCGAGGGAAAGCCTTGAGGAAAGCATCAGCCTAGAAAAGCTAGTTGTCAAGTAAGCGTAGAGAAAATACAATTACCTAGCCTGAGTATTTCTACTCAGGACCATAACCACTCAGTATACGTTTATGTTCAGTATTCTTATCTATTAAATGCAAGAACCAGAAAACTGGGACGTAAAAATGATCTAAAAACTTCATAATCATTAAAAATTATACATAAATTAAAACTTATATAATGACATCTATTATTTTGTGATTATAATATTTTACTGGGTTTCTTTCATTCTCACCTTGGACTTGTATGTTTTTTTCTTCTTATCAGGGCCTAAGGGATCTTTCTTTTGTACCTATGCACAAACATAAAGCATGAGTAGTTAAAAATCTGAAAATCTTGAAAAATAATAGCCTACTGGTTATTTTAGAAAGCAATGACTGCTTACCAAGCTGTATACTTCAACATTAATTTCAAAGTCATTGGACACATCTTGCCTAGAAAAATAAAACATTGAATAAAAATGTCAGGAAAACCTCAAGTTATGCCATTAAAAATAATACCACGAATTCTACTGCAAGACTCTGAGGGTAAAGGAATTCACTGTGTTTTTAAATAAAGACAATAGCTACAAAGCATTAAAAAAATATAAAAATTGGTAAGAATAGTCTATTTTTGCCTATACTACTAGTCAGAAATATTTTTCTCAGTATTTACAGCTAGAAATTCTCAATAATAAAAGTAGTCACTTATTTTTAAACTGGATTTTTTACTCTATAGCTTGAAAATAAGTCTGTGATACTAAATATAACTAGTCCTTTTATTAAGATTGAATAATAAGTACTTTAATGAGATTTAAAGCATATTTGAAAAAATTTACAGTTCAAATTTTAAATACATATGTGCATACACTGAAAAGTGGGCTATTTGTCCAAATAAAAAGGACAAACATATGCATTTCAAAGATTATAAATGCCACCCGCATTGTTTATTAACTCTCTTTAAAAAAAGAAAATGTGGTCTGAATCATGAAAAGCTCAGTTTACTTACAGAGTAAACACAGTAGTGAATGCCAGAGCATCTCCATTAAGGGAGTTTGAAGTACTTGCTAAAGGTGTGGCCACCATATTTTCAGCTCCTGCTTTTAGTATAATTAAGTAATAATAATTTGCTGCATCTGCAAAAGTAATCACATTACATAATTAGCACACAAGAAAAATCAGATTTAAGTAGTCAGCATTCTCAAAGACCAAAGGTATAAAGTACTACTGCACCTGATTATACATAATTTATATAAAATTGCTAAAATCAACTTCCCAGAAACAAAAGGCTAAGACGTAGCAAACAGCCATGATCATCACCCTATTGTGTGAGTCCTAATAACTTGATTTCTGCTACCTCAGAGTACTTTACTCCACAGCTCTCGATTTCTGCCAACCTTGTCTTTTACCTATTGACTCCAATTCTTTAGCTAACAGTATATGCCTCAAAAGGATAAATTATGGTTTGTCATTTCAAAACTGAGATTAAAACGCTATATTTCTGTGAAAGTTACTCAGACATAAATTTCAATAAAAACATGAACTATTTCTTCACTATCTTATTAAATAACCAGATATATCAAGGTCCATATTCAATTACCAGATTCCTGCCTGCTTCCCCCACCTTAACCAAATCAGACAACAGCAAAATTTAGAATCTAAAGTACCTAATTCCTACAATAATGCTAAAACTTCTAAAGACCTCCATTCTTTACTTACCCTGTACCTCAAACACCAAACATATAGCCTTCCCTTGACTCAAGAGAATTTTCACACAAGTAAAAATTTAAAAGGACCTTAAAAAAAAAACACTTATCTGACATTTAATAAATTTAAATTTTATTAAGCTTGCTATAATTAACCTGCCCCTTTTTCAGAACCTGGTGCCATATTTCTCCTTTACCCTACTTTATTTGTATATGAATTTTAACAGAATACATAGTTCAGAAAAGTTCACTGTGGTGATTCAATCTTGAGGAACAAAAGGAATAAAAATCCTTGCCCCTACAACTAATAATTCAACATTTATAGAACAAATTTCTATAATGAGGCAAAGTTTAACTGGAATAAAGTAAAATAAAAATAAAGTTCTTTTAGATGCTCCAGTATTTTCTACAATAAAATTAATGAAAGAAAGCCAAATGATCTGCTCTGTTATGCTAACTGATCTTAGGAAAATATTGGATATTCCAAATGATTTTGACTAGCCTTACTCTCTCAGTTAGAGCCATGTACATTAATGTGTGGATCAGTAACTCTAAATATGAAATTTTCCCTTGGTTATTTTTATGCACATATTTTAATAAAAGGAACTAAAGGCCCAAGATGTAAGTTTTGCATCTTTATGCATGCTGTACATGTTTTACAATTCCAGGCTAGTGAGGTCCATAATGAAACATATGATTTAGAAGTGATGCAAGTTACAAATCATCATACCTGGTTTCTGGGCTGTACTGCAGACAAAATCTGCTTTTAGAGGCAAGCGAATCTCTGACAAGGTAACTGATCCTTTGGACGGGACGAATTCCCGTTGGGATACGGGACCAGTCTTATTCTTTCTCTGAGGTCCTTCACACTTCAATTTATTCAACTGATCAATCAAAAGTGTTCTCTTCTCGGCTTTATGAAAATATGCAAGTTAATATGTCAAATATTAAAACTGCAACTTTCTAAATGAGAGCCAGATTAAGAAACTGCACTGATGTGGCAATTGTACATAAGATCAAAGACAAAACAGTAAGTCTTTCTACAAACAGATGGTTAGGTAAAACTTGGTTGTTCACTTGTTTACCAAGTTCTTATAGTATTTCAACTTTTGGTCTGTTTTCTTATGTGGTATAATCTCTCTACCCCAACACCTCTCCCCAGATCAGTACCAGCACACATACATATATAACAAAATCACATAAGCTTTTTTTAGCTCATGCACACGTGCTCATACATTTTTTTTGTCATTCTTAAGATACTCTTCACAACTACAAAGTTTTTCAAATGCATTCCAGCTTCTTTCACCTTTCATGCAAACTACCTTGTATTTTACGTATAGAGTTTTCACAAACCCATAAGTGCAAGAAACAAAAGACAGATCAACTGCAACAGACTTATCAGAGAAAGCCCTTCCTCTAAAATTAGAGATTTCCGAATACACTAGATAAAATGAGAGTTTCCTTTGGCTTGAAAATTTGTTGGGATTGTCTCAGGGGCATTGCACGTACTTGCAATTAGAAGAAGTCTTTCTGCTTCAGCTTCTTCTAGAGACCCTTTTCCATGCTCTCCATCAACACAGCAGTTCAGAGCCTGGCTAGCTTGATAAATCACTGTCTGTTGCAAATTTATTTCATTATTGAGTTCCTAATGAAACCAATGAGAAGGGAGAAAAAAACCCACATCTTTAATCACCATTTTCACTCTAACTAATCTGATTGGGTAATTTCCAAAGTTCCTACAGAGTAAAGCCAACATGTAAATTTCATTGTTCAAGTTAATTTCAGACTATGCACCAAAAGAAGCCCTGGTAGCACAGTGGTTAAAGCACTCAGCTGCTAACCAAAAGGTCAGCAGTTCGAATCCACCAGTTGCTCCATGGGAGAAAGGTGTGGCAGTCTGCTTCCGTAAAGATTTACAGGCTTGGAAACCCTATGGGGCAGTTATACTCTGTCCTGTAGAGTCACTATGAGTCAGAATTGACTGGAGGGCAGTGAGTTTTTATGCACCCAAAACATTTAACACCCTGTAAAGATAATGATTAAACTATCAACATTCTTCCTTATGAAAAGATTTCTAATTCATACTTATTAAAATTTTAACTGGGGGTAGAGTCAACAGACTAGAGATTAAGAAATTATCTGATTTTATTTTTAAAAATAATGCTTTTCTTATCATAACGCTTTTCTTATCATAAAAGAACCTCTAAGAGCAACATTGGCAGTTCATTCCCACCCAGAGGCACCTTGAAAGACAGGCCTGGTGATCTGCTTCTGAAAGGTCACAGCCTTGAAAGCCCTATAGAGGAGTTGTAATCTGCAGACATAGGGTTGCCATGAGTCAGAATCGACTCGACAGCAACTAACAGCAACAAAGAGTAAAATAAATCTCAGACCTCACTATCACTCAATTAATAGTTAGACTTTAAAGATATTTATGGCAGACCCGTTTAAAAATAAATATTTCACCAAGCAATCTTCCAATTCTCCAATAAAGAGGATCTTTTTGAAATTCAACTGAATTCAAGTGATTTCCTGAGCTCCTACACATCAGACATGTTCGAGGCACTAGGGTACAGAGATGAATAAGGCTGGGCTCTTGTCCTCAGAGCTCACAGTCTACGCAGGAAACAATCCAAATCCGCTTTCCACAGAAGGGCCTACCTGCATTTTCTGTTTGATATTAACTTGACCAGGAAAGGCTGTTCTTTCGTCCAATTTTGAAGTAACATCTTCCTTCCGAACAATCACCTGCTTTATTGAAGGACGTTCTGTTTCTTTGAATCTTTGGGATCTATATGCATCAATGCTTCAGGAAATAAGTTACACTCCATTAGAAAGCCAGCAACAAACACAGTGAACACTATCCTTTATGGAACATACCAACAGAACTTCACCACAGTGGAAAATGCCATTTGGTGAAAGAGAGGCTGATGAAAATTATTTCAAGCTTTTATACACATGAGTTATTAATGGCATTACAATTATAAACTGTAACACATCTTGTCGTGTCAAGAATCTAAGCCATGACCCTTAAAGGGTGAACACCTTCCACAAATGTCCTTACCTGTAAAGGAGATCACGATCTTCAGAATCAATGCTATCACGAGACTCAGCTCGAGGGACACGGGTTCTTTGGAATTTTCCTGGCTTTGGACTTTCATCACTTATGCTGGTGCCTTTTAATTCTAATCTAGGTGAGGAAACTAAAGTCTGCAGGGAAATACATTGGGTATTAGTACACGTTATGGATAATTAACACTGATTCTAAGCTAAATGAATTATCCTCCATTAGTGTTAGGAAACAAACGTCCAGTACGTCGACTGATTCATCATAAAACCCAGGAAAACTAACATAAGTTCCTAAAAAGTAAATGAATAAATAAAAGTATCAAGAGAGCTGAAACCTACATTTGTAACTCTTTTTAAAAGTGACATTCCTACTTGAATCAATTTCTAAGCAGAGCTGTAATTAATCAATTTAGGATGATAGCTAATAACAGTAGTTAGCTCTCAGTAAATGTTACTTATGCATCTGCGATAAATATCAAGATACTAATCTGATTTAATATTCACAGCAACCCATGGTGTAGGTACTATTATTCACCTTATTTAATTGATGAGGGAACTGTGGCATAGAGAGGTTAAATAACCTGCTCAATGAACAGCCAATAAATGACGGAGCCAGGATTTCAGCTCAAATGTCTAGACATTTAGGCCATGTTAGAGAGTTTGGATTTTATCCAGGAACAACAGGAAACCACTGAAGAGTTTTAAGCAAAGAACAATGTCAACTCTGAAACCACCACCTCCCTCCACCCTCCCCACCAGCTACAGAATGTCAAATCCCCATCTACCAACCAAAAATAAAGTAGGGGTTCCAATACTGATTGGTTTCTTTACATCATGGGCCTGTTTACATTTAGTCTTGTCTTACCTCTGGACTTACCACTCCAACTGTCTGTGCTAATGGACTCAGTAGAGACATTGAGGAGATGTTGAGTGCATCTTCCTGTTCCTCACTGCGTTCTGCTTCTACTTGATCCTTTCTCTCTTGGCTCTTTTCCACATCTGGCTCACCTTCCTCTAAGACATCACTGAAGATGTCATTAATAACTTTTGAACTATTGATATCATCATCATCATCCACACTCATCTCAATTTCACGTACCACTTCTGAAAAATATTGCAATAGGTAGATATTATGATTCAGACCTTTAAGAATTAAAAGGGATGGCAAACAAGACCTAACATTCACATGCTTACTAAACAAACGGAGGAAAAGCCCTAAGCAAAAGCACCTCCTAAACAAAATATAATAAAATATTACTGATACACAAAACCAAAATAATTTTCAAAGTTACAATAACATTCTCTATATAATAAAGTTTGGGTCTATAAAAAGCTGATTCAACGCTTTTCGTTTAAGAAAGAATATTAACTCAGAACTCAAACTGCAGGATAATAGCCAAAGCTTCAGACTTCCAAAAAAACTGTTCTTTAAAATAAATCTTTCTATCATTGGGAACTGCCTTTTCACATGGCACGCCAATAACTTAGGGCAGGAACTGTTAATCTAGGGTCCACAGGCAGGCCTCGGGGGCCTGTAATCCCTCTAACAGTCGATGCCCAGTGTAGGAGGGCAGCACAGAGCCTTTCCTGTGAAAGCAAGTGATAGCCTTAATCAGGTTCTCACAGGGCTCTGTGACCTAAAGATAACTACTAACAGTACACCACATCTTTGTGGAAGCTACAGTAGTTCCTAGTTTAAAAAGAGAGAGAGAGAGAATATTATAAAAAGACATCTTGAAATATAGGAATACTGTATATTTGAATATGTGCTTCTACTAATATGTCTTAAAGTGTGTCCAGAGTTAATAAGAAATAAAGAATAAAAACAAACCAGTCTGCCGCTCAATCTTTGGGTCTGATGTTACTTTTAAGGACTTTTCCTCTTCTAGAAACAGTGTTATTTTCAAAGGGCTAGACTTCGTCATTTCACATTCAGTGGAACCTAAAAAATTTTTTTTAAGAAAGACCATATTAATAAATGTATATAAGTACGTAGAATTTTTTTAGCTAAGGAATCTTATATATCTTTTTTCTGATTATAAAACTGTATACAGGGATATCTCTTTTTATTATGCTTTGCTTTACTGCACTTCACAGATATTGTGGTTTTTTACAGATTAAAGTTTTGTGGCAACCCTACGTCAAGCAAGTCTATCAGCACTATTTTTCCAACAGCACGTGTTCACTTCATGTCTCTGTGTCACATTTTGGTAATTCTCATAATATTTGAACTTTTTCATTATCATTACATCTGTTATGGTGATTTGTGATCAATGATCTTGATGTTACTTTTGTAATTGTTCTGAGGCATCACAAACCACACCCATATAAGACGGTGAACTTAATCGACAAATGTTATGCATGTTCTGACTGCTCCAACTACCGGCCATTCCCCCATCTCGCTCCCTCTCCTTGGCCTCCCTATTCCCTGGGACACAACAATACTGAAATCAGGCCAGTTAATAACCCTACAATGGCGTCTAAGTGTTGAAGTGAAAGGAAGAGTTGCACGTCTCTCACTTCAAATCAAAAGTTGGAAATGATTAAGCCCAGTGAGGAAGGCATGTCAAAAGCCAAGACAGGCCGAAAGCTAGGCTTCTTGCACCAGTTAGCTAAGCTGTGAATGCAAAGGAAAAATTCTTAAAGGAAATTAAAAGTGCTACTCCAGTGAACACATGAATGATAAGAAAACAAAACAGCCTTATTCCTGATATGGAGAAAGTTTTAGTGGTCTGGATAGATGATCAAATCAGCCACAACACTCCCTTAAGCCAAAGTCTAATCCAGAGCAAGGTCCTAACTCTCTTCAATTCTTTGAAGGCTGACCGAGGTGAGGAAGCTGCAGAAGAAAAGTTTGAATCTATGCTGGTTCATGAGGTTGAAGGAAAGAAGGTGTCTTGGTAACATAAAAAGTACAAGGCGAAGCGGCAAGCGCTGATGTAGTAGCTGCAGCATGTTATCCAGAAGATCTAGCTAAGATAATTGATGAAGGTGGCTACACTAAACAACAGATTTTCAATGTAGACAAAAGAGTCTTAGATTAGAACAAGATGCCATCTAGGACTTTCACAGCTAGAGAGGAAAAGTCAATACCTGGCTTCAAAGCTTCAAAGGACATGCTGACTCTCTTAGGGGCTAATGGAGCTGGTGACTTTAAGTTGAAGCCAGTGCTCATTTACCATTCCAAAAATCCAAGGGCCCTTAAGACTTATGCTAAATCTACTCTGCTTGTGCTCTATAAATGGAACAACAAAGCCTGGATGACAGCACATTTGTTTACAACATGGTTTACTGAACAATTTAAGCCCACTGTTGAGACCTACTGCTTAGAAAATAAGATTCCTTTCAAAATATTACTGCTTACTGACAATGCACCTGGTCACCCAAGAGCTCTGATGAAGATGTACAAGGAGATTAATGGTTTTCATGCCTGCTAACACAACATCCATTCTACAACCCATGGATTAAAGAATACTTTCAGCTTTCTAGTCTTATTATTTAAGAAATACATTTTGTAAGGCTATAGATGCCATAGATAGTGATTCCTCTGATGGATCTGGGCAAAGTAAATTGAAAACCTTCTAGAATAAGATTCACCATTCTGGATGCCACTAAGAACATTCATGATTCATGGGAGGAGGCCAAAACATCACCATTAACAGGACTTTGGAAGAAGTTGATACCAGGGGAACTAAATAGATACGTGGTAACTTTGGTGAAGGGTAAGACAATACACGTTACTGGGGAAGCCAGCACAACTCGTACAAGGAAAGGTCATAGAAGCTCCATAGATACTTCCAAACTCCCTGAGGCACTGAACTGCTGCGCAGAGGGCTGTGGGGACCATGGTCTCGGAAAACATCTAGCTCAATTGGCATAACACAGTTTATAAAGACAATGTTCTACATTCTACCTTGGTGAGTAGCGTCTGGGGTCTTAAAAGCCTGTGAGCAGCCATCTAAGATACTCCACTGGTCTCACCCCTTCGGGAGCAAGGGAGAATGAAGAGAACAGGATACAAGGAATAGATTAGTCCAAAGGACTAATGGACCACAGCTACCAAGGCCTCCACCGGACTGAGTCCAGTACAGCTAGATGGTGCCTGGCTACCACCACTGACTGCTCTGACCAGGATCACAATAGAGGATCCTGGACAGAGCTGGAAAAGGATGTAGAACACAATTCTAACTCACAAAAAAAAGACCAGATTTACTGGCCTGACAGACTGGAGAGACCCTGAGAGTATGGCCCCCAGACACCCTTTTAGCTCAGTGGTGAAACCCCTCCCGAAGTTCACCATTCAGCCGGGGATTGGATGGCCTCATAAAACAAAACAGGACTAATGAGGCACAGCAGTCCAGGGACAAGGACTAGAAGGCAGGAGGGGACAGGAAGTCTGGTGATAGGGAACCCAAGGTTGAGAAGGGACAGTGTTGACATGTCATGGGGTTGTTAACCACGGTCATATGTGTACTATGCGTACTAACTGCAATATGTGTACTAACTGTTTAATGAGAAACTATTTGTTCTGCAAACCTTCATCTAAGGCACAAAACAAAAAAAAGAATTATCTATGTGAGATCAAATTGACAACAGCAACTCAAAAGGTTTGATGGGAAGCCTAGGGGACAGTGAGTTGAAGATAATGGTGATGGTATAATTTGGAAAAGGATATTGAGAATAGTAGCACAACTGGAAGAATGTAATCGATGTCACTGAATTGTTCATGTAGAAACTTTCAAGATGGTGTAACTTTGGCTATGTGTATTTTCACCAAAAAAAGGTCCTCAAGGTCAAGAAGGGAGAGTGTTGACATGTTGTGGGATTGTTAACCAATGTCATAAAACAATGTGTGTACTGGCTGTTTAACGAGACACTATTCGTTCTGTAAACCTTCATCTAAAGTACAATAAAAAAAATTAAAAAAAAAAAAAAAAGAAGTTGACTCCAACCCTCATGCGTGACTTTGAGAGGTTCAAGACTTCAGTGGAGGAAGTAACTGCAGATGTGGTAGAAATAGCAAGAGAACTAGAATTACAAGTAGAGCCTGAAGATGTGAATTGATGAGGAGTTGCTTCTTATGGATGAGCAAAGAAAGTGGTTTCTAGAGATGGAATCTACTCCTGGTGAAGATACTGTGAACATTGTTGGAATGACAACAAAGGATTTAGAATATTACATAAACTTAGTTGATAAAGCAGTGGCAGGGTTTGAGTGGACTGACTCTAATTTTGAAAGAAGTTCTACTGTAGGTAAAATGCTATCAAACAGCATTGCATGATACAGAGAAATCTTTTGTGAAAGAAAGAGTCAATTGATGTGGCAAACTTCACTGTTGTCTTATTTTAAGAAATTGCCACAGCCACCCCAACCTTTGGCAACCGCCACCTGAGCAGTCAGCAGCCATCAACACCGAGGGAAGACCCTCCACCAACAAAAAGATTACAACTTGCTGAAGGTTCAGATGATGGTTAGCATTTTTTAGCAATAAAGTATTTTTTAATTCAGGCATATACATTTTTTTTAGACATAATGCTATTACACACTTAATAGAGTACCAAAAAAACCCAAACTCGTTGTCATTGAGTTGATTCCAACACATAGTGACCATATAGGACAGAGGGGAACTGCCCCATAGAGTTTCCAAGGAGCGCCTGGTGGATTCAAACTGCCGATCTTTTGGTTAGCAGCTGTAGCTCTTAACTACTACGCCACCAGGATTTCCTAACAGACTACAGTATAGTGTAAACATAACTTTTATATACACTGGGAAATCAAAAAATCTGTGTGACTCAGTTTATTACGGTGGTCTAGAACTGATTCCGCAATATCTCTGAGGTTTGCCTGTATTTGTTTTAAAATATTCAAATCTAGAAATATATACAGAATCCCCAAAAACCTATTCTCTCTAAACTGTCCCATCTCTCTCTTCCTCTCTACCAAGAGAGAGAAGGGGACACCAATATTACCAGGTCACTGTTTGTTCTTCCAGTTTTCCCAATATGTATGCATACGTGTGTATATATTCTTTTGGTTTATCAGAAGGTGATCATATTATACACGATGTTCTACAACTTGTTTTCCACTTTCAAAATAGTGACCATGATATGTCATAACATACGAAGCTAACTTACGCTTTTAAGCAGCTACATAACATTTGATTATATGAATTTACCATAATTTATTTAAGCAGTCTTCTATTGATGGGCATTTAGGCCATTTTAATCCTACTACTGCTCAAAAAGTGCTATGATGAATCTCTTTGTACATATATCCTTGCACACTAGATCTAGGAATTCATCTTATAGAAACACTTGCAGAAAAGCTGAATTAAAGAGCTTGCACATTTTGTAATTCAATAAACATTACTGAATATTCTCCACAAAAAGATGTAGTAATCTGTACTCTCATGTAGAGTGTATGAGTTCTCACTCCGGAAAAAGAACTAAGGAAGAATTATATCACATGAACAGAAATGAAGAAATGAATCTGTCTTTTTACATCAGAGCAGCACTTCTGCTTTCCAATCTCAAAGAAAACTACGCTAGACTGAAAATCACATTTTAAATGAAGTAGTAACAGACCTGCAGGTTCTGTGCTGGAAGTTTCTGGTGGTGTCTGATTTTCTAACACCTTTTCTGCTACTGGAAGTGATGGAGTATCTGAAACAACTTCAGATTTTTTGAGAGGAGTGTTCTGACAGTGAGTTTTCTGCAAAAAGTAAATGAAAAGAGATACATTTCATTTCTCAAAATTTTTATATTTTTACGTTATTAATGAAACAAACAAGAGTCATTATTCTGTATAAGTTCCTCAGATCAAAAGGGATAATGTATGTGAAAGAGCCCAGCCATGGGTAGAATACAACAGGCCCTCAGTGTTAGTTCATATTCTTAGTAATTCCCAAAACCAAAAAAACCAAACCCTTTGCTGTTGAGTCGATTCCGACTCATAGCGACCCAGTACGTAAAATCATTTTTCAAGAATACGAGGCAAGAGAGCATAAAAATTCTCATCAGAGTTCAGCTTTGGATAGACCAGCTAAGGTAAAAATCACACAAGCAAAAAACAATTCCTCTCGTGTCACTTAGCTCAACCCACACCTATACAATCTGGTGACAGTTCCTATGTTAGGATTCCATTTAATTATCAGTTACTTGGTGAGTAAAATCCAGAGAAAACAAAGGAGGACAAAAACAGAACAGAGGATAAGGAAGAAGTAAAGAAGCATACAGGGGGCACAGTAACAGATACTTCCTAGACATAACCAAAAACGACCTAGGATTGGTTTACTGGGTTTGAAGCCTTACGATCACAGTCTCAGGGACAACTAGGTCAGTTGGCATAACATAGTTCATAAAGATACTGCTCTACATCCTAGTTTGGTGAGTAGTGTCTGGAATCTTAAAAGCTTGTAATACTACTATTAGTCTCTGCTCATCTGGAGCAAAAGAGAAAGAAGGAAACCAAAGACTCAGTGAAGAAACTAGTCTACAGGACTAATAGCCCACACAAACCATGGCCTCATTTATCTTGAGACCAGAAATAGATGGTGCCCTGCTACCACTAATGACTGTTCTGACCAGGGACACAATAGATGGTCCTGGACAGAATGGGAGAAAAATGTAGAACAAACCTCAAATTCCTAAAAAAGGCCAGATTTACTGTACCGATAGAGACTAGAGGATCCCCTGAAACTATCACTCTGAGATACTCTTTAAACTTGGAACTGAAGCCACTCCCAGATGTCACTTTTCAGCCAAATAATAGACTGGCTCATAAAATAAACAATATCACCCATGAGTACCGTGCTGCTTTAAATAATCATCTATATGAGACCAAATGGTCATATTTACCCTAAAGCAAAGATGAGAAGGTGGGGAGGGCAGGGAAACTAGATTAAAGGAAACAGAACAACCAGAATGGAAATAATGAGAATGCTGACACATTGTGAAAAACGTAACCAATGTCACTGGAACAATACGTATAGAAATTGTTAAAAGGGAATCTAATATGCTGTGTAAATTGTCATGGATTGAATTATCCCCCCAAAAATGCGTGTATCAATTTGGCTGGGCCATGATTCCCTATATCGTGTGATTTTCCTAATCGGAGGGAACATTAATGAGAAGGCTGACAGAGAGAGAAAGCCTGCCCCTAGAGCTGATGCCCTCAGTTTGGACTTTTAGCCTACTTTACTGTAAGGAAATAGACTTTGTTAAAGCCATCCACTTGTGGTATTCCTGTTGTAGCAGCACTAGATGGCTAAGACAGAATTTGGTACCGAGTGGGGTGCTGCTCTAACAGACACCTAAAATGTGGAAGTGGTTTTAAAACTGTGAATGGATAGAGGAGAAGCAGTGGCAGAGGACCAGCAGCAGCACAGAGCCAGCAGCAGCAGAGAACCTGCAGCAGTAGAACCAGGAGACCAGCGTAAGATGGCGCTGGAGCTGACCCACGGAGGGAGGGAGCTGAGTGCCTGTGAACAGGAGGCTTCTTGGCGGAGTGGGGTGCCTCCAGGCACTTACCGGTGGAGCTACAGGAGGTTTGGAACACTTGCCCCAGCAGGACAGATGCAGGCGTGAGGCCTGAGGAGCCCAGAGGCTAAGAAACCAGGAAACAAGCTGAAGAGACAAGGGACACAAGAAGCTGAGCTGCCTCAGTCTCAAAAGGTATGACATGATCTCAGGGGTTTCAAAGGGGAGCCATGGCCTCTGATGCTTCTAAGGGTGGAGTTGCCCTCCAGATGGACTGGGACAATGGTGCGCCTAAAGGCGAGGGAGCAGAGTTGCTATCCCAGTGGGCCTGGAAGGCAGAGCTGAAGCCCAGGGCAGAGGAGCTTCCACTCAGAATCTGGAGAGTGTAGCCAACACCTAGAGTCTGGAGGGCAAGGCCATTGTATAAATTGTCTCAGAGGAGAGAGGATTATTTTCAAAGCCTTGAGGGCTAATGTAATATGTTCTGCTGACTTGCTTGGTGCCTATTATCCCTTCTTTCCCTCCAGTTTCTCCCATTTGTAATGGAAATGTCTAGCTTGTGCCTGTTCTGCCATTGTACCTTTGGAAGCAGATAACTTGTATTCTAGATTTCACAGATGAAGAGGAATTTTTGGATTCTGGACTTGGAGTTCAGACTTTTGCTATGATATGATGGGGTGAATATGTTTTCCATGTTGCAAGGATGTGATTTTTGGGGGGCCAAAGGGTGGAATGTCATGGATTGAATTATGTCCCCCCAAAAATGTGTGTATCAGTTTGGCTGGGCCATGATTCCTGGTATTGCATGATTTTCCTATATGTCGAAAATCCTGCCTCTATGATGTTAATGAGGGAGGATGGGTGGCAGTTGTGTTAGGAAGGCAGGACTCAATCTATAAGATTGGATTGTGTCCTGAGGCAATCTCTTGAGAAATAAAAGACACAAGTGAGCAGAGAGACAGGGAGACCTCATACCACCAAGAAAGGAGTTCCAGGAGCAGAGAGTGTCCTTTGGACCCAGAGTCCCTGCATGGAGAAGCTCCTAGTCTGGGGGAAGATTGATGAGAAGGCCGACAGAGAGAGAAAGCCTTTCCCTGGAGCTGACACCCTGAATTTGGACTTTTAGCCTACTTTACCACGAAGAAATAAACTTCTCTTTGTTAAAGCCATCCACTTGTGCTACTTCTGTCGCAGCAGCACTAGATGACTGAGACATAAATTTTCACCAAAAATACAATAAAATAAAAAAGAAAGAAAAGTGGAAAAAAAAAAAAAAGCTTACTGCCTTAAAACTCTATGGGGCAGTTCTACTCTGTCCTATAGGGTCACTCCGAGTTGGAATTGACTCGACAGCAATGGATTTGGTTTCGAGTACTATGAGCCAAGCACTAAGAGATGGATAAGGCTCTCATAGACAGTGGGAGAAAAAAAGTTAAAACAATTACAGGAAGATAAATATTCCATTTGAGGCATATATAGGTGAAATGGGGGAAAATAAAAAGAGGGATCCCTTGGGGAAAAGGGCCAAGTAAGAATTTCCAGAGGGGATTAAAGTTGGACCTTGTCTTTAAAGAAGTAAGAATGCATCATGGAGATATTCCAGGCAGAGAGAATAGCAAGGGAAAGGGAAAGAGACCTGAAAACCTGGGTATGTTAGAGAAACTGCAACTAGTCTGCATGGTAAGGCTGAAGGACAGAGGAAGAGCAGGGCAAGGAGCTAGATTATAAATGATTCTATACGTCAAACCAAGCAGGTTAGGCATTTTTCTGATGACGACTATGACATGCTCTCCAGGATTTTAAACAAGTGAATATACGAATATATGCATTTTGAAAATATTTCTGTGGCAGCAGTGGGTGATATAAATTGGAAGGTAGCCAGGCTAGAAGCAGGGTGCCCAACAGAAAGCTATGGTAGTGATTAAGGTAATGGCCGAGGACAAGGTGGCTTGGTGAGAGATTTAGAAAATGTTTCACCAGATGTTGTGCGTGCGTGCATACGTGTGAGTGTGTGCGCTACCAGGGTAAAAAAGGTGGGAAGACAGTAAACAAGAGGAAGGAGCCAAGGAAAGCTCCCAGATCGTTTTAGAAGACTGGGTATAGAGTAGAGCCACAAATAGAGATAGAGACTATAAAGGGAAGATACAGCAAAGCATAGAGAGCTCTACTAGCCAACAAGTCTGGAGCTCAGGAGAGATTGGCACAGCAGAATCATGCATCATTAGCATTTCCATGCTTGGCTGAAGCTAGAGACGAGAAGGGGAAAGAGAATGTCCCAGGGCAAGTACTAAGAAAAAAGGGTAGAGGTCAGGACTCAGGGAAATGTCATTTGTTAAGGGGCAGGCAAGACAACCGACAGAAACAAAATCAATCAAATAGATCTTTCTCAAAGAATACAAGTTAAATTTATTATTGTACTTTCTACTGGTACCCACAGTGAATATAATTCTATGATTTTTAGCTTAAAAATATATCCTAATTTAGTACTTTGCACCCAGTAAGCATGTAGATGCCAGCTAAATAAACAGAACATAGTTTACATTTACAGGTAGGGAGTTTGTTGAAGGCTGATAAATGAAATTTGACAGGATATTCTACAAAGGTGAACAGAAATCTGGGGGGTATTTGGTAACTAATAGGATTATGGTTAGTAAAACAATCTGATGTTTGGGGAGAGGTATAAAATTATCAATGAGCAAAGTGATTCTAAGAAACATTTTAGAACCAGCCTCTTCTAAGTAGGATGTTAAGAGGAATGTAAACTCAACTGAATAATGACAATAATTTTTTTTTAATTTGATTTTGAGAAGGTCATCAATGAACATAGTGAAGAGACTCCATTGAAATGGAAAAAAAGCACCAGAGAAAAGCAGAGTTGGTAAGAACATTTAAGGAGTTATGAATGGAAAGTGGCATAGTTAATCGGAACAGTAAAGTATATAAGGAATTATATTACAATTCAGAACTACAAGTTAGAACCCAATACTACTTTGGTATCAGATTCACTCGTATATTTCTTGATTATGTTACCTTTTTGGTTTCTTCTTGTTTGCCTCTTGAGTTTTCTCCTTTTTCTGCACTCCATAAACTGCCCTTGTCAAATCGCCCACGAAGACATGCTAGTTCTTTTTCACGTTCCTAAACCCATCAAAAGCTGTACTTTACAGAAGAGCCAGTAGTGTGTTTAAGAATAATATCCAAGTAGTACTAAAACCACCCTTGTCTTCAGTTTTAAGACAAAAAAGTTCACAATACACATGGAATACAGGGCAACAATATTTCCAAGTTGAAATAAGTGATATAGAGAATCAAGATGCTATTTATCTCAGTCAGAAAAACTGGGATTGAAATTCACATTTTGATTTCTAGGTTCTCTGCTGAGACCATATAATACAGTTAAATACAGTAAGTTATACCTGCTTGAGCTGTTGTGCTAAATTGGTAGTAGATGAAGATGTGTTTTGCTTGAATAATCTTTCTTGAATGGCCTTTGTATTTGGGGTGATAATGGGGGTTCTTTGGGGTGTGCTACGAGCTGGACTTTGTTTTCTGTGTTCTTGACAACGCTCCCCAAAGCGTTCCAGAAAAGGCTTGATTCCCGCTCCTCCTACAGAAAACACATACATTTTTGGCAACTATTCACAGTAAGTAACAATTATGATTTCTAATGAAAAAGTTCTAAAACCCATTACTACTCCAAAATCCTTTCATTTCAGGAGTTAAGCTATTTATTCTACTAGGAATATTCATTCAGAAAACAAACAGTATGAAAATGGTTCAAAATTTTATCACACCATTCTATTTAATTCTATATCCTAAAATTTATGTATAGGATTTAGTTCTTGTAAAAGAAGAGGAAAAAAGGGAGAGTGAGAGGCCAGTGAGAGGGCAGTGGGGATTAGATAACTCATACTGAACAATCAGAGACTAAGTGACTGGAAGTTGACTGTACGTGTATTAATAAATCTATATTAAGCACCAAGTGTCCTAGTCATAACTTCTAACAACTTATATTTCTACAGCCTAATTTATTTTACCTTGCTTTTACAAAGTCTAATATACGAAAATCCATGTTTTTTTTTCCTTTCTCCCCCTCAAAAGCAAAATTAGAGATTATCCACTTTATCAAAGAGATACCTTGATTTACAAAATCTGAAACTAGTACTCATTTGAAATAGCGTGACGTACATCTAAAGTATGGCAAATGGGATTTATGTCACCTGCATCATGAGGATGCTAGGGTTGTATTATGTAAAAAGAGGTATATCTACATCAGAGGTTGGCAAACTTTCTCAGTAAGGGGTCAGATAGTAAATATTTTGGACTTTGAGGGCCATACTGTTTCTGCTGCAACTACTCAACTCTGCATGGTAGGATGAAAGCAGCCACAGACAATAAGTAAATAAAAGGGCATGTCTGTGTCCCAATAAAATTTTATTCAAAAAAATAAGCTCTAAAATGTGATTTCCAGTTTAAATGACTTGTCTGCATCAAAAAGGACAGAAGAAAGTATCTAGCATGGCCATCCTAAAAAAAGTATATTTGACTGCTAAAATGTATTAGGTTAAATACTTTGACCAGTAAATGGGCTAGTCTATACTAATGAATATTCATTCAGTCAATTAAAGCTGAAGTTGAAGAAGCGACATTCAGAACGTTTGGGCGTTTGCCCTGGCAAACCAACACTACATCATTCACAATTGCATGTTAAATGATGAGAATAACATCCTAAAAATAGTTAGCAGTAACTTTTGATTTTTAAAAAATACATAACCTGGTGTTGTAGATTTGTCTTTAGAATGCGATTGTAGACAAGTTTCTGTATTTAGTTCTTCCTTGGACCGAACTGTTGGGGATACAGTTGACTTCACAATTGGTTTCAACACCTCTGTTTTCAGAGGACTAGCAGGATTTTTTTGAAGTAGTTCAGGATTTTGTACTTCACATTTTTTAGCATCAGTGATGGATGTAGCCGAAGATTTCAGTGGGGAAGAAGCAGCTTTCTGAAACATGATAATATTTAGGGTAAACAACAACATTCATAATATCTACAGGTGTCCTATAATAAAACAACGCAAATCCTATTTGCTTTGTAGCCTTATGTAGATTTATGGAAAAAAATTTCTTGCCATATAATAGGTCAAATCAATTCGAAAGATTTGAAAAAAATATCAACTTAGAAAGTGCTAATATAATTTAGTCTGTATAATATATTCTAAGGTAATTTAGTTTGAGGGGTAGGGTTGCTCTCTGTTTTACAAAATGAATGTTTTCGTATTATTACACTAGCACTTTTATTAAATTCTCAACTGTATTAGACCAAATTACCTATTTTTTGTATTTTAATTAAGTCAATATCAATTTAACAAAATAGTAGCATGTACTTGATAGCTAATTATAATAAACTAGCTCAGCTGCTAATGGAAAGGTTGGCAGTCCGAACCCACCCAGCGGCTCTGCGAGAAAGACCTGGCAATCTGCTTCTGTAAAGATTACAGCCAAGAAGACCCTATAGAGCAACTCTATTCTGTCATATGGGGTCACTATGAGTCAGAATCAACTCAATGGTACCCAACAACAACAACATGTGCCAGGCACTGTGCTAAGTGCTTTATGCACATGATCTCACTTAACCTTCCCAATAACTCTTCTCCCCATTTTACAGACGGAAAAATAAGGCTTCACAAGATCAAATAACTTACCCAAAGCTATGCTTATAATTATGTCACAGCTATGACTGAATGCAGGTCTAATTCCAAAACCCAGATCTATACCATCTAAAAGACAAGGCTCAGAAACAAAGCGTTCTTTCATTGTTTTAAGATTGTTTTTAAAAATAGTCAATGTAATACATGCACAAGGTGAGTTTCAAACATTTCAAAAGAAATGCATTGAAAAGTGTTCTACCTACCCTGACATCCTGCTGGGCAATTTGCCTTCCTGGAGGTAACTATAGCTACCACTTTATTATGTCTTTTCAAAGATATTCAATATCTTATATTTATACTCACATAAAGAATTTTAATGGAGAAATTAATTTTCAGTGTTCCCCTGATGACCAAGACTCCGTCATTCCATTATTATATACTTTGGATTTGCATTAAATTGGCATAATTTTAGTTGTCAACTGCTAATTTATCTTGGGGTGGGGTTTCAAACGTATGTCTTTTACTTTCTATAAAGCCAGTATTCAAAAATACGTATAAATACACTATTTATATATTATAAATACATGCTTTTGTTAGGTGCCGTCAAGTTGGTTCTGACTTATACAGATCCCATGTACAACAGAACGAAAACACTGCCCAGTCCTGTGCCATCCTCACAATGGCTGCTATGCTTGAGCCCATTGTTGCAGCCACTGTGTCAATTCATTTCATTGAGGGTCTTCCTCTTTCACTGATCCTCTACTTTACTAAGCATGATATCCTTCAGGGAATAGAGAAAATACATACCTTTATACATATTATAAAATATATACCTATGCACATTACCACTCCTAACAAAAAATAAACAAAAGGTTTCCAAAGATCAAAAATTCATGTACTTACCACAGAGCTAGAAGTGGAGGTATTACTCAAAGATGCATCCACAGTCCTCGAGGATGGGGCTTTATTCAAAGAGGCATCACCATCCCTTTGGGAACAGCATGTAGCTTCTTGCTTAACACTGCTGCTATTGATCCTAGCAGATGCTCCACTTACAGTGGAAAATTTGGACAAACAAGTGGTACCAGGCTGTTCTTGTACACTGTTCTGCTTTGCAGATGAGTGATTTACATCATCTTCCCAGGAGCAAATAGTTGCAGCAAGGTTGGCCAGACGGCCCCTTCTCCCAATCGGAGTTGCTGAGGCATCTGAAATGGGTGGTTTGGGAGGGGAGGCAGACTTTTCCTCTGATGGCACTGGTGAGAACAGCGAGCTTTCGGGTTTATCATCTGAAAATATTTCCATAAAAGACTTAAAAACCATGTTCAAGGGTTATAGTCATGTATTCTACCAGGATCACCCCATATACACTTGTAAAATTAGGTTAATAGGTTTAAGAACCAATAAAAAGTTCTCATATGCATGATACTACCAAACTGTTTAACAGTATCTTTTCAAATCAGATGACATTTAATCCAAATCCAAAAAAATAAACACTTTGTTACATCTATTTTTCAATTTTTTTGATGGATTATGGATTCTGTAAGATACCATATGGTTCCATTATACAGGCAGTCCCTGACCTACTATGTATTCAAGTTACGACAAACTACACTTACAACCGTCTGTTTTGTGGTTTTTTTTTTTTGTACATCTTATCGTTAGTAATATGTACTACATACAGTGCTGCAGCAGATAATTTGCTGATGTTATCATTCTCAGATCACTTGCAGATATTCAATGTTATGACTGACTGTTCAAAACACTGCCAGATAGCAGGATGTGGCCTGGTTTACAATGAAGTCAGTGTCGGTGTTGGGAGTCATAACAGATAGAAACCTGGGCAATGTTCAACTCTAACATAAGACAACTGAACTGCGCGTGTACCCGACAGCCATTACAACTCCAGCTTCATTGTTACGACACTAATGCTGACTTCGTTGTAGACAAAGCCTATAGCATGATCTTATTCAGTGTTTCGTACCAACAGAAGCATCAGTTGTTAATTTGAAGCTGGGTTATTCAAGTTTCTTACCCTGTAATACCTGCACTGCTTACACCCCCAATAATATGTCTAGCAAAAGAACTCATGCCCGTATAAGTTCTAATCCAAAAAAGGAGGTGAGGAAGGCTCTAGACATGTATATAAAGATGAAGATCATTAAGGCCTACGATAATGGGAAGAAAGTCAGCAAAATAGCACAAAAGGAAGGATTGTGTCATTCAACTGTTTAGACCATCATTAAGGATAAGAACAGGATTATGGAGACAGTTAAAAGAAAGACTGGCATAAAATTGACAATTTTAACAAAGAAGAGGCAAAGGCCAATCCACGAGATGGAGAAGCTGTTGATGATTTGCATAAAAGATCAAATCCAGGAGAGGATTCCTGTGAGTCTACTGATGATTCAAACGAAAGCATGCAGCCTTTCTGAAAACCTGAAGGAACAACGAGAAGACCACTGCGAGTACTTCAATGCCACCAAGGGCGGGCTTCAACGATTGAAACGCAGATTTGGTTTGCATAATGTGTGTATAACTGGAGAAGCAGGAAATGCTGATGTTGAAGCAGCAGAAAAATTCAAGGTAATACAAGACAAAGAATGTCTACCACAGCATATTTTCAACGTGGATGAAATAGGCTTGTTTTGGAAAAGGATGCCAGAACAGACCTACATTCACAAAGAGGTGAAGTCAATGCCTGGTTTCAAGGCATTTAAAGACAGAATCATGCCCACTGCTTGGAGGAAATGCTGCTGGATTTAAATTAAAACCTTTTCTTGTTTACTGTTCTGAAAACCCTCGAGCATTCAAAAACACTGACAAAAATAAGCTGTTGGTCTACCACAGAAGTAACTCCAAAGCCTGGGTGATTGTGTTATTTGAGGACTGGTTGTTAAATTGTTTTATCCCAGAAGTACACACCTACTGCCTTGAAAGGAGCCCTGGTGGCACAGTGGTTAAGAGCTTGGCTGCTAACCAAAAGGTCAGCAGTTCGAATCTACCAGCTGCTCCTCGGAAATTCTATGGGAAAGTTCTATTCTGTCCTATAGGGTCACTATGAGTCAGAATCAACTTGACAGCAATGGATTTACTGCCTTAAAAAGAGTGTTCCTATCAAGACTCTGCTGCTACTTGATAATGTCCCAGGACATTCTCCTCAGGTAGATGATCTAAATCAAGATGTGAAAGTGCACAAAGCAAGTCTTCATAAATTAAAAAAAATTTGAATCATACAATACACAAATATATGGCAATTAAACAACATACTAATTAAACTACCAATGAGTCAAAAGAGGAATCACAAATTTCTTAGCATCAAATGAAAATGAAAGCACAACATACCAAAACTCATGGGATGCAGCGAAAGCAGTACTCAGAGGAAACCTTATACCAATAAACTCCTCCATGAAAAACGAAGATCTCTGGAACAGAATTGAGAACCCAGATGTAAATCCATCCACCTACGGTCACCTGATCTTCGACAAGGGCCCAAAGTCCATCAAATGGGGAAAAGACAGTC